TGTTTTTCAATAGTTTACCAAAGTTATTTAGGTCTCCCCATAAGGTTTCTTGTGTGATTCAAAAGAAGCGGTTTAGGAAACTACATTTTGTGATGGCAAAAGCATGAGCATGGAAGGACACGTAAGCAGGATACCAAATTCCAGGCAATATAATACTTAGCATGAAGTTAAAGGCAAGCAGCAAACGAACCCCAAGGCCCAAACCCTAGAGCCAAAGGTACCAAGTGTATAAACCCAAAAGGTATTGCAAAGGTTGGATCTTTGTAATATATAATCTCTAGCCTTTCAAGCATTGTTTTTTCTTTAATAGGAGAAAACATCAAAAACATCTTGACGTCCCCTGGACAACATCCTAAACAGAACAGCTAACGAGTAGTTTTCCCACCAGCAGATGGCCTCAAGATTTGGCCGCAATCCGTAAACTTCTCCTTAACACCTGCAGCTCGCGCTGACCTTCACCGAGTGTGTTATCAGCCACATTCCTTTCCCTTGAGAACAAGGGATTCTCTCTAGCTACAGACTGTGGCTGAGAAAACTGAGAAATCTGAAATCCCACATTCCCATTCCCATCATGCCCACTTGCACTCTCAGTCCCATTATGTCCATCATGCTGTTGCTGAACCACAACAATGGGACTATTTGGCTCCCCATTCCTGTGATGACAGAGAGGCACTCTGCTACCAGGAGGTTTTTTTCTTTTCAAGTTAGGTAATGATTTCATGGATAAATATATAAACATTCATTGATAAGTTTAACAAATGTCTACTGGTGAAGCACTGATTGAAGAGAAAAGATGGATGGAAAGACAATTGGCCCATTCTAGAATTGATGGGCCAGTTAGAACTGTTACATTTTCTGTCTTCACACTTATCATTGTGCCTGGAACCTCAGGTCTTAGTGGTAGCCAGGGGAGCTTTTGCACACTTAAAACTTGTGCACGAACTGTGCCCGTATCTTGGGAAGTCTGACTTGGCCACGGTGGCCCATGCTTTGGTTACATCCCGTATTGATTACTGCAACATGCTCTATGTCGGGTTGCCTTTGTAGCTCGGAAGCTACAATTAGTCCAACGGGCAGCAGCCAGGCTGCTCACCGGAGTGGCATAGAGGGAGCATACCACCTCCCTGTTTCATCTCCGCTGGCTGCCCATCTGCTTCCAATCACAATTCAAAGTGCTGGCTTTAGCCTATAAAGCCCTAAATGGTCCCGGTCCAGCCTACTTGTCTGATTGCATCTTCCCCTATGAACCATCTCGGAGATTAATATCGCCTGGGGAGGCCCTGCTCTTAATCTCACCTTCTTCGCAAGTGTGGTTGGAGGGGACAAAAGACGGGGCCTTCTCAGTGGTGGCCCCTGAGTTGTAGAATTCCCTCCCTAGTGATATCAGGGCAGCCCCTTCCCCCCTACTCAGGCATGTAGCCGGGGGGGGGGAGGCTTGGGGGGCTTCAGCCCCCCTCCCCCAAAATTCTCAGGGTAGTCTACGAGACTACTACTACTGGTACATTATTTAAACTGTTATGTTTATTCATACCATGCTCAATATATCCCATATGCATGGGGGTATTGAGGTAACGATACAAAAGGTTTGCTAGGGTAGACCCTCTTTCACTCAGACTCAGCTCCCCCCCCCCCCGAAACAAAATCCTGGCTACGGGCCTGCTCCTCCTATTTAGAAAGAGAGTCAAAACCTAGCTCTGGGAGCAGGCATTTGAAAAATAGAGCAGTGCAGGAATGTTAATATAGAATATGTTCAATTGGACTACAGATTGTCCTTTAGATGACTCTGGATGACATGATTCATTGAAATGTATTTTTATTGTGCTTATTATGTTTTGATTTTTAACTTATGTTTTAACCAATGTTGTATGCTTTAAGGCACCATGGAGGTATGATTGTAAGCTGCCTTGAGTCCCCCTTGGGGTAGAGAAAGGCAGGATATAAATAAGGCAAATAAATAAATAGTCTACAATAGCCAAGCACCAAATTGCAAGCACAGGAAGCTTTTATTTTGGACTTCCTGAATATGACTCTGAATTCCAAGTGGGTACTGATATTTCTCTTCATACTTCCATGAAGGGACTTATCCCATTCTTTGCCACTGTACAGATAAAACACAGGAGGTTCCCCAATGTTGTTTGAAGGTCAATTATCATAAATACTTTTCAAGCATTAAAAAGGTACTTTTATTTTGTTCACAATGAGACAGAGCAATACAGAGAAAGAAAGCAGACACACAGGTTCTATAGCTACATTGGGTACACAAACAAAGGAAAATTACATTTTCCACTCAACATGCACACACACATAAGCATTCATAATCATGCGTACATTACCATCTCTTATTCCTTCTCCTGGAAAAAAGATCCCAAAGTAGGCTAGATTGCGTTTCCTGGAGAAGATCAGTGGGTGGACCAGACTCCTCTGGTCTGCCACTATTATGGAATAGTAAAGTGCTTCTTATATTGCATATTTCTTGCTGATGTTCCAAAAAGTTGCAAATGAATGATAGATGTTTTTACAGCTAAGACATTCTGACTCCATCAGTTTCTGGACAGATGTTGACTTTTCTTCCTTAACTGATAATTGGTTTTCCTTCTTAAGGAGTACTGTTTGCTTCCTTTTTAACTTAAAGAGTCATTGTCTTTGGTAATGTAAACATGTTGTTTTTCACCACAGAGTAAATCATCTGTGTCTGGTCATCAACAATACAGTTCATGAATTCTTCACCTCCTTCATGTAGTTTTCCAGGCTTCAATCTTATGATGGCATCTCTAGACCCAAACCATACACCTTTCATACAATTTCATTCAAACCATTAATCATATTTTGTCCATCATAGAACAGCATAGAATGTCAATTAATATAACTCATTAATTTTCATCTTCTTGCAGGGCTCTAAAACGGGGCTGCCGCTGCCTAGAAGTGGACTGTTGGGACGGCTCTAATGGCGAGCCCATCGTTTATCATGGCCATACCTTCACTTCTAAGATCCCCTTTCGAGACGTTGTGGCAACCCTTGAGAAATATGCATTCAAGGTACAGTGGACTTTTCTGAAACAGAGAGGGCAGACTGGGGGAACGAATGTGTTTAGACCAGAGTTTATGAGTATGCGTATATAATAAATATACACAGGAGAAACAGTAGCTCAAGATGGCTTTTAAAGCTGCACAATATCTGAAATGTTTTATTTACATAAGGAAATCTAAAACCAGGCATCTTAGAATAATCTAATTATGCTATGCCAGCTAATAAAACAGCAGGGTCTTTATTTTATTTTTTTTAAGAAGGCCGAAGTGATAGCCTTAAATTAGGCTTCCGTTATAGAGAACCATGCTTGAGTGTTTTCTATTAACAGTTAAATGAATTGGAGAAAGCAATTCATCTTAATTGGTCCTTCTCCATGGTCCATCTTCACCCTTCCATAGCCATGACCTACCTTACCCTTGCCTCATTCAATACCTCCTTGACTCCCACAGGCATCTGAATATCCTATCATCCTGTCTATTGAAAACCACTGCAGCATAGAGCAGCAGGATATCATGGCGCAAAACCTGAAAGGAATTCTGGGAGAGCAGCTCCTCCTCAGCACCATTGATGGGCGAGTCCCTGTGCAGCTGCCTTCACCTGAAGTAAGGACACAGAGCGTGATAGCCTGTCTTTTCTCAAAGTGGGTTCATAAAGTGAGCACTGATAGGACAAACACTTCTCTGTCCTAATTTCTTTTAATAATCTACACCATTAGAAAGATGGTCATGGGAAGAGGGAAAACACCTGAATTGACTTAACATGAGGAGTGAGAGGAAAGGAAAAGGGGAGCAATGAAGAATAGAAGAAATGAAGCTGGGTTGGATTCCAAAGAATTTGGTGCTATTTTTATTTGGGGCAGAACCACCAAAAGGAATCCTTCTCTGCTGTCCTTTCACAAGAAAAGCAAGAAAAGACCTTTGTTTTTAGATGCAGCGTTGGCAGCTGACATGCTACTGAAAAAGCTGGGTGAAAAGGTGTGTGAGAATGTCCTGGGGCATTTTTTCACATGTTTGCTTACAAGACTGGTTGTCACAACCCTGCACAGCATCTCTCAGTATAACAGTCCCTTCCTATGTTCATCGTCAGTCAGTCCGGGGTCAAGCCAAAGTAGATTCAAACAACAAACGAGACAAGGATAATCTAAGAGGCGTAGTCAATAGTCCAGTCCAAAGATTCTCACCAACACATCCAAACTATACGTAGTCCAAAGTCAAGGTCTAACACACAATAAGGCACATGAAGTCATCCGACAGCACTCCAAGCTGTAGCAGGTTCCAAATGTTGCTCCCAGCAAAGACCAAATCCAAACCAAAAACCAAATCCAAATGATCAAAAATGATCAAGGGTCTGGAGAACAAGCCCTATGAGCTTAAAGAGCTGGGCATGTTTAGCCTGAAGAAAAGAAGACTGAGAGGAGACATGATAGCCATGTATAAGTATGTGAGAAGAAGTCATAGGGAGGAGGGAGCAAGCTTGTTTTCTGCTGCCCTGGGGACTAGGAAGCAGAACAATGGCTTCAAACTACAAGAAAGGAGATTCTATCTGAACATTAGGAAGAACTTCTTCACTGTGAGAGCTGTTCAGCAGTGGAACTCTCTGCCCCGGAGTGTGGTGGAGGCTCCTTCTTTGGAGGCTTTTAAACAGAGGCTGGATGGCCATCTGTTGGGGGTGCTTTGAATGCGATTTTCCTGTTTCTTGGCAAAGGGTTGGACTGGATGGCCTATGAGGTCTTTTCCAACTCTAGGATTCTATGATCCAATCTGCTACTCTTTATGCTCCCTAGCACAAGTGTTCTCACCTGTTGGCCCTTCTCTGTGCCAACCAGGCAGATCTATGCAGCTGAATAGCATGAGTCCTCAGTTGCAGTCTTTCTGGGATACTTAACTCTGCCTCATTCCTCTCCTGATCCTGAGTTAACTCAGGACCCCCCTTTGCCTGAAGCACTTGGTCCTGCACTACAGGGGTAGCTTCCTCAGTGTCAGGCAGCAGCTGTTGTTGTTCCCTGATTTCCACTAACTCAGGTGCTGAGCCTGCCAGCCCTTCATGTTCTTCTGTATTACAGACCCTGACATTGGCATAGGTGTAAGAGAGAAGAGAGTAAAGATAGGGTTTTACGTACAGATTTAACCAGTGTATGGCATTTGGGTAGATTTAGAGATGTCAGGGGAAAGAAAGTCACTTCCTTTGCTTTGTTGTATTCCCTGTGTCCTCTTCCTGCAGAAGCTGAAGGGGAAGATCATCCTGAAGGGCAAGAAGATGGGATTTCTGGAGGATTCTCTGAATGGGCAACCAGAGGAGATGCCAAAGCGGGAAGAGGGTGAGGAAGAGGAGGAGGAGGAGGAGGAAGCAGAGCCAGAACCAGAGCCAGAACCAGAGCCAGAGGAAGAAACCCCGCGCTCCGAAGCCAAGAGGAAAGAGAAGGTTGGTTGACTTATGTATCACATTTGTTTCCAAATGTGGGATGCAAAGCAGTTTACATCATAAATTAAAACTAAATACAGGTAAAATAAATCATAGTTCATTCCAAAATGGTTACAAAAATGGATCCGGCATGGAGTGATGGTTTGAGCATTGGATCCTCACTTGGCCATGAAAACCCACACCGGGCTTCATTACAAAATGTTTCACATTCTGAACATCCAGATGCCCTGTATCAGTTAGAGAGTTCCAGCCAGAGGGGGGAAAAATGTTAACTTTACTTCTAGTGTTGCTGCTGCTGTGGGTGTCATTCTGATTCTTGCCTTATCTGTATTTGGACACACAAACAAAATTTACTGATTAGCTATCACTTTCTTTTCAGAAAGCCAAACAATCTCTCTCCAAGGAGCTTTCTGACTGCATTATCTACTGCAAGAGTGTGCCCTTCTTCAGTTTCCAGCACTCTCGCAGCCACTACAAGCCTTACGAAATGTCCTCCTTTACTGAATCCAAGACGCGCAAACTCATCCGTGATGCTGGTAAGAATCTTGTATGTATTTGTGTATAAAGCAAGTGACTGGCAGGCAGGAAACCTAAACAAAGACATGACATTCAGATATTGCTCTTTCCTCACTCTATTTTCTCAAGCCATTTCCAGAAGCCTCAGGCTAAGATTTTATTTTTATTTATTTTTTTGGACAAGAAAGCACTGATATTGGCTTTCTTCACAAATAAAGCAAGCAGCCCATGTAATTGAAACAAGTAATATTGCATTCCAAAGACATATTATTTTACCTTATTTTTAAAAGCATCTCCCCTTCCCCCATTTTCAGAGACAATCTGCTGGTAAATCCATGATCCCTCCATTAAGTGATGATGTATAGAAATGTTTGGTGATAATAGATCTATCTACAACAATCAAAATGGTAAAACATACAATGTGTTGTCCATTGTCTCAAATTCATGCCTCAATTTTTAGCATTGATTGGAGAAATTCAGCATTGCTAACCTAACTTTTATTGTAATTTGATAGTCCTGCATTCAACAGAAACAGTGCTTATGGATGCTTTGAAAGGAGAGAGGAAAATCTTCCAGTTATGGACAACTAGTTTGAGTGGTTCAGAGCCACTTGCTTCTCATCTGTCTATCTGTGCTTTGAAGAAGTGATTCTGTCTTCTTCAACCTGGCATCTATTTGCCCTAACACCGTTTGGAGATAACTCTCTGTTAGGAAAAATCTAAAAAAGATCTCTAGTACAAAGTTCTCTTATCACAACTACTCTTCCAGCCCATTGACTGCTGTGGCCACTACTTATTTCATGAATAATGGTGTGCTTGCTTTCTGCAGGGAATGACTTTGTCCGCCATAATGCCTGGCAGTTGACACGCATCTTTCCTAGTGGCCTCCGAACTGACTCTTCCAATTACAATCCTCTGATGATGTGGAACGTGGGCTGCCAGATGGGTATGTCTGAGATGCAAGTAACAGACCAAAAAAAGGAGTGGGATCTGTTTTTCCAAGTGCATTTTTACCCTTGTCAGTATTTTGCAGAGTGGAAGGCTCCATTTTGTTAAGTACTTGGTCTATTCCTAGTCTCAGAGCCATTGTGGTAGAGGGAGGCAACTTATGGTTAGTTGTTTCAGTCTAGTTACGTTTACTGCCAGGAAATGAAAGAGAAGCTTTCAGGATTTCCTAGGGAAGCATAGTGGTGGCATTATTGTTTCTGTTTTTATTCTACTTTTGTCTCTTGATTGAGATGCAAAGTGGATCACAACATTAAAAACACAAGGAAATTTAAAATTGACAACATACCAATATTAAAATATAATTGAATATACATTTTAAACCATAGGCCAGGGGTTTCAATCCTAAAGAAAACAAATTATCGACCACTTCACACACACCCATTCTGCTAATCCTTGTTCCATCTTATTTCTGGTTCATATTGGTTAATGAAAGCATATAGATCAGAAGTTTTCTGATTTGGACTCTCTAAGTTTTCATACCTTTTGTTATAAAGTGCCTCCAGTTTTGGAAACACTTAAGAAACAAATCCCGATTAAAGATGGACCTTGGGCAGTAGGGTTAGTTGCAGTGTTAGAACTGTTGAGGGGACAAAACATTATAAGAATTATCTCATAATGGCTGGGATTCTATATTAGTTACTTAACTGAACATTCTAAACTAACTTACTTAAATTACTTCTGGGCTGACCTGATGGAAATTATGCTCCAATTACAAGCAGGATAGACCTACAGCTCCCTATGCAGCTGATGCCTGGTCAGGTAGGTTGCAGAGGAAATACAATTGTGGCATTGGTGTCACAATTGTGACTAAGTAGCAATTGTAATTATAAACAATTATCAAAATGTAAAAAAGTTAAAGGTAAAGGTTTCCTAGTCATGTCTGACTCTAGGGGGTGGCACTCATCTCCATTTCTAAACCAAAGAGCTGGCGTTGTCTGTAGAGATCTCCAAGGTCATGTGGCCGGAATTACTGCATGGAGCACTGTTACCTTCCCACCAGAGTGGTACCTATTGATCTAGTCACGTTTGCATATTTTTGAACTGCTAGGTTGGCAGCAGCTGGGGCTAACAGTAGGAATTCACTCCGCTCCCCGGATTCGAACCACCAAGTTCAACAGCTCAGTGGTTTAACCTGCTGTGCCGCAGGAGGCTCCTAATATTAAAATGTACTCATCTTTAATTGTTTAATATTAAAATCCCAAATAAGTTAAGCACAGTGGATTCTTGGCATCTGTTGGGGTGTGGTTCCAGGATTCCACACAGATGCTCAAATCCCATTATCTACAATGGTCTAGTAAAGGTGACCTTTATAAATGGCAAAAACAAGGTTTGCTTTTTGGATTTTTTAAAAATATTTTCAAAGTGTGGATAGTTGAAACCATGGATTCTGTATCTGTGGCCACTGTATACTTAACAAAGTAGCTACTATAGGGTTCCAGCCTACCACACATTGCCAAGGAGTTACGATTCATTAACCACTCGTCCCACAATGAGTGGTTGAGTTTCTGATTTTTATTTTCAAAAGGTCTTGCATGGATGGAGCTAGTAGATTTGCTTGAGCGCTGATTTATTTCCATTGCTGTTAATATTTTTGATTCCTCTGTTTTTAGTGGCCTTGAATTTTCAAACTGCTGGTACAGAGATGGACTTGTACGATGGGCTCTTCAGCCAAAATGGCCGTTGTGGCTATGTGTTGAAGCCGAGCTTCATGAGGGACCCAGAAACAGCCTTCAGTCCTGAGAATCCCCAAAACAGCGGTGGCAGAAGTCCACTGAACTTATTCATTAAGGTAATGCATGCGTCTCTTGGCCTTGCTTCATTCTGCAAAGTTTAGAACATAATTTCTAAGAATATGAAGGTTGGTTATACCAAAGTCAGACCACTGATCATTCTAGAAGCAGTGTGTCAATCCTTTTCTGATCAGTAAAAATGCAGTCTGGTCCTTCTGCCAACTATGGCACATGATATTTTTCCCATTCCAGAAAAATCTCAGAACTTTTCATTACCCGAGGACTATAATTTAGGCTGAAATTGTAGAAGATGGAGCTGAATAAATCAACCTGGGTAACTGGTGACAGAAAATAACCACAATGTGTACCAACATCCAAAATAAAATCAGAAAGAACAGAAACAAAATCTAGGGATCTCTTCACATGGGGCAAAATAGCTCTGTTTTGCCGCTTTAGCTGGGGTTTGGACAGGGCTGCCAAGCACCATCAGACGATGCACAGCAAGTCCTATCCCGAAGTGTAGAAAAAGTGACAAAAGGTGTTTCCTCCTCCACCACAGGGAGGAAAGTGTTTTTCGGGGCAAGGCGGATGGGGACAGGGTGCCAATGCACATGTCCTGCTTTTTTCACATGTCCTTTTCCTGTCCTCTTGAATCTGAACATGCCCATTGGCTACTGGTTGTTCAGGTCGGTTGATGTATTTTTATGATGTTCTTATTTTTCTGGTTTTAATTGCTTTGATTTTATTGTTTATCTGTTATATGCTTTTAACTGTGTTTCATCCTTTAATCTCTGTTTCTGCTGGGCTTGGTCCCCATGTAAGCCACCCTGAGTCTCTTCAGGCAATGGTGGCGGGATATAAGAATAAAGTTGTTGTTGTTGTTGTTGTTGTTGTTGTTGTTGTTATTATTGAAAAGAGTTTACATGGTAATGCAGTGTAATCATTTCCTATATATACTGTATGTGACGTTATAGTAAAAAAAAAAGTAAAGGAGTTATTAAATAGTGAAACCCCTTTGTGACTTTTGGCCCACCCTGTACATAGTTGGTGCCTCAGCCAGTATACTGGACGAGTAAGCCAATTTTGGGAAGCAGACCCAGTGTGTGTTTTTGGTCTTGTATTCCATAGCAGTAAGCTGTCTCTCTGTCTATGGCCACCATGTTGAACAGCATGGGTTGAAGCAGGTACATTGTGGATTCATTACACATGTGACCTCATGAGCATAATCTTGATGGCTCTTCAGTGCTCATGTGAATCTTCTTTTCTAGGTTATTAGTGGGCAGCAGCTCCCCAAGATGCCCAACAGCAAAGAGGGTGCCATTGTGGATCCACTAGTGAGAGTGGAGATTCATGGGGTTCCAGGTGACAACGCCAAGCAAGAGACCAAATATATTGACAACAATGGTGAGCCTGTTTTATTGGCCAGTACAAGGATGTACTAAGCTGGGTTTGGGTATTGGCCTCACGGAGATATCAACACAAATGCCCATCAATCTTCTTTAGTTCAGAAATCCATATTTTCTCATGATCTATATGATCAAAGTTTTGCTAAAATCTAGGAAGCACAGTCTGATTTTCGGGTTGTTGTAGGTTTTTCTGGTTGTATGGCCATGTTCTAGAAGCATTCTCTCCTGACGTTTCACCTGCACCTGTGGCAAGCATCTTTAGAGATTGTGAGGTTGTATGATTTTTCTCTGAAATAGGTGAAAACATATCAGATAGGAACTTCCCCACTTGAAAATGGAAGGGTTATAGAATCACAGAATTGAAAGAGTTATATAATCCAACTCTGGCCTTGTGGGAACACATCACTAAAATACTCCTATGAGTTGGCCATCCAACTTCCTTTTAAAAAACCACTGTGGTGGCTCATGGTGGAATCTCTTTTCTGGCAATTCAAATCTATTGGTTTGGTTCCTGGTCTCTGGAGCAGCGGGAAAAAACAGGGGATTAAGAGACGTTGATTTGAGAGGCTGAGAGGTAGCTAAAGGAGACTTTGAGATCCTCTGCCTTGGTGACACTCTGCATTTTCCTTATTTACCTGGACAGGGTTTAATCCAAAATGGAATGAGAGCTTTCGGTTCCAAGTATGGGTACCAGAACTGGCACTTCTGCGATTTGTGGTGGAGGATTATGACAAAGCGACATGGAATGATTTTGTTGGGCAGTACACGCTGCCTCTTACTAGTGTCAAACCAGGTAAGTGTCTCTTCTCGGAACCATAGTCATGGGACAGAGTTGTTTGCTTTGTTGTCATTTTTCTTCCAAGATCTGGAAATGAAAAGTATCCCTGGCAAAAGAGACAGTAGCAAAAGAGACAGTAGGCACTAGAGACTGATGTTTGTATATGCAAGGAAAATAATATAATCTACATCTTGCAGTTACTCAGCTGCACAGAATGGAAGCATATAGATGAGGTTTCACTAGCCAGAGACTACTAGACCAATGAAATAAAATTAAAATTGGTGCTTCTAAAAATTTGAAATGTTGTGGTTATCTGCTTCTGCCAAACAACACCAGAAGTATCAAAGTGATAGATGGGATCTGGGAAACATGAGAACTCCTCAAGGGAATAGGGATGAACTCAGAATTTGTGAACAGGATGGAGAGACAAGTCAGGAAAGACTGTCTTTAGAGCAGTGGTTCCCAACCTTTGGTCCTCCAGGTGTTTTGGACTTAAACTTCCATAAATCCCAGTCATCTTACCAGCTGTTAGGAACTGTGGGAGCCGAAGTCCAAAACACCTGGAGGACTAAAAGTTGGGAGCCACTGCTTTAGAGGCATAACAAGTATAGCTTTTTTGGCTGTGTTTTAGAAAGTTAATCATTCCAAAGAAGATTACAAGCAAATGGTCTCAAATTCATGCCAGGCATATCACATGGGCTTTTAAGGCAGTCAAGGAACAAGGCTTTGGAAACACACCAGAGAGTTGTTGCCCATCAAAATAGATAGTTCTGGACTAAGGTAAAGGTTTCCCCCTGACATTAAGTCCAGTTGTGTCTGATTCTGGGGGTTGTCCATAGACACCTCCAAGGTCATGTGTCCAGCATGACTTCATGGAGCACGGTTACCCTCCCGCCGAAGTGATACCTATTAATCTACTCACATTTGCATGTTTTCAAACTGCTAGGTTGGAAGAAGCTGGGGCTAACAGTGGGAGCTCAAGCCACTCCCCAGATTTGAACCTGTGACCTTTCAGTGCTCAGCCCTTTAACCCATTGAACCACCGGGGGCTCCTTGTAGTTCTGGACTAGGTGGACCAATTTCTTGATACAGTTACGGCTACCCTTCCACTAGGGAATAGTCCAAGTTTGGAGATGCTGGGAGCAGCAGCAGGAAGGTGTTGGGAAGCCAGAGCTATGTGTGTGACATGGCCTGCCTTGTATCCTCTTGGTTTGATGCCCTCAGGTGCAGGGGAAGATGCAGTCTTGTCATTAGCATGGAAGTACGATTCAGTGGCTATTCTGGTTGGCTTTTATTCCTGGAATAGTAGAGAGGACACCATTTTGTGCTAATGGTTTGGGCAAAATTTGCTCTACACAAGACAGCTTCAGACATTGTCAAATTTTCTGTTCCGTTCAGGATACCGCCACATCCACCTTCTCTCAAAGGACGGTACAGGGATCCCACCAGCTTCTCTCTTTGTCCACATCCGAATCGTGGAGTTGTCATCTGAGAGCGACTGAATCCCACTGCCATATCTCAGAATACAACTGCCTCTTTCTCCACCCTGTTTGAGTTTGGAAAATATGTGTGTGAATGGGAAGAAACCCCATGGGAGGATGCCATATCACACCACCTTTATCTGTACAGAACTGGACTGGATAGAAATGCTATTTTGCACTACCATAATACTTATTTTTTAAAGTATTTTTGCTGCTATGTTATTATTATTATTATTATTATTATTATTATTATTATTATTATTATTTGCAAGGAGCCCAGCCCTTTCAAGTGTGTCCATTCATATGGTTCTATTTATTACAAAATCTACCTCTGTTGTGAGTAGGAGGCAAACTAGCCTATTCTACCTGGGAACAAAACATACCCAAGCTAGAGGGAATTTCCTCCACAGTGTTGTGCATCAGTCATGCATTTCAAAATGGTATTTTTCTCCACTTGTCTTCTAAACCATCTAGAAGACATTTTAGGTCTCATTTGGGCAAGAATGTAGACCAAGCTAGCTTCTATCACTAAAGCAGAATCAGACACTGAATAGTTAAGCTATACCTCCATTTCTCAATACATGATAGAAAAGGTACCAGATCCAAACCATGGGTCTTGTAGCAACATTTTCTCCTCAGATCGATGCTCCCCTTCCCCCTTTTGCCTTCCCAAGCAGAAGACTCGGGAAAGAGTCAAATGTTGAGAGTCAAATTCTTGTGTGTAATTTCTTTGGAAATGACACACAAGAAGATGAAATATTGTTATGTTTTAAACCATTCAAACGAATAGTTATTTTATTTGGTTCATCTCCTGGTTGTAGATTTATTCAATTACTATTCCTTAGTTTGCAGCTAAGAGTAGGTTCATATATGCACGTTGAGCATGAAGCCATATATATGGCATATAAACATTGTACATCAAATGGCATCTACTAGCCATTAACAAGACTTCCCGCAAGGGAGGCACTTTACATCTTGAAGTGAAGGTCATCAAGTGATATATCATGTAAGCCTATGTAAATCATCCCTCAGGGAAGAGCCCAGGTCCACTGATTTCTTGAGAAGTCAGCAGGTAGGAAGGGGCTTGGCTTTCCATCATCCATTTGTTCACCAAGAATATTTGGCAGCTAACTGCAGTCTAACTCTCTTTTCATACTTCTCTCTTCCCAGTTGGAATTTACATAAGATAGACTGTTCAGGCCTAACCTATTTTGACGATGCGCCCCGCCTCAAGCTGCAAGGAGTGGGTCAGAATTATTATTATTATTATTATTATTATTATTATTATTATTAGTCTGTATTGGTTAGGCCTGAAACTATATATGTACATAAATTCCAACTGAGAAGAGACAAGATGTAAACAGGAAAGTGTCTTTTTGAATATGCAACGTGTACAGAATTCATCTAAGTGTCTTCTAAATCAAAAAAACAAAAAACCTCCCCCTATATAAGCATCTTGATGTCCTATAAAACCTCAGCAGAATCATTCCTGTTTTTGAGGCATTTACAGTAGCTGCCTGTTAGCATGTGTAATTGAGTACAGCTATACAAGTTGGCAGGCTGGACTCCACCAGATACTCTGGGGCTTACCACTTAATAGGTGAATGTTCATGCTTTTAGGCCCTTGCTGTTTCATTTGTTTAAAATAGAAATAAAACATGGCAAACTTAAATCTTGGAGACAGAAGCCCATGGTTATATATTAGATATTAAAGGTAGCAGGGGTCTGGTGGCTTGAAAATCTAAAAGCAAGAGATAATGGAAATAAAACAGCTGAGATGAGGGAATTTGGGAAAGGTTGAAAAACTTATTTTGATGGACTATAGTTCCCAGAATCCCACACTGTCAACATTAGCTGATGGAATCTGAGTCTTGTAGTAAAAATAGGTAGTTTTTCCAAGTTCCAGAACTCAGTAGCTACAGAAGCTGTTTCTGGGTCAGTGGCTCTCAACCTGTGGGTCCCCAGGTGTTTGGGGCTACAACTCCCAGGAATCCCAACCAGTTTACCAGCTGTTAGGACTTCTGGGAGTTGAAGGCCAAAACATTTGGGGACCCACTGGTTGAGAACCACTACTCTAGATGGATAAATAGCATTGGTCGATTTCCTGAAGTCTAAGTGGAAAGAGCACTGTGACCTCAAAAGAAGTAGCAGTTACCTCAAAAGTCCCTTCCTCAGTTCCAGCATGGGTATGTACTGCCAGTACAATCTCCTGGTCATGTTTTATAACTCCATGACCCTCCTGCTCTTTCAACCCCTCTGCATAACTCAGGTTAACTTTCAACAGTGCAATATGTACTACAGCATTGCATGGAATGCAATTTCCCCCTTAATACTGTCACCTTGTATGAGGCCAGGCCTCTACATATTCCTGGTTGATTAAAATAAAAATCAGTAAAAAGTATGTTCAAATCTTCAATTGCGGGGAGTGTGTGTTAATCAGTTCAGGCATGTTGTCCTCCCAGCCCTTGGTAAGGCTCTCAGCAACCACTGCCTCCCAGACCCACTACAGCAACATTCTGGTGGGCTAAAGGATGGTCGAAAACAGATGGCAATTGCAGAAGGCTTTGTCAACCTTTAGACTCAGAATACTGGTTGAATGTTGAAATGCCTTTGGAAATCTGTGCATTTTATGTGACTAGTCTCACTTGAGAAGAATGCAATGCCTTGCAGCAATCTAAATCAAGTTTATGCTATTCATGGAATAAGATTTCCCTCTGTCCTTGTGAGGACAATCCTACGAGGGTTATCTGGAAAGTAAGGTTATAAGGCATGTAGTTCTCATTGGGGATTTTCGCGAGGGAAGCTGGTATTACTGCAGTGTAGCGGCAAGTCAGCAGAAGCGAATGAGCAGTGCCAGTCGTCACTAGCTCATCGACTGGCATTGTAGTGAAGATTAGAGATTCGCATTCTCATTCCGTTTCCCGCCAAGTGTGAAGCTTGCACTGTAATACGCAATCTAAATGCTAAGGGCATGAACGTCGCTGTGCTTCAGAGAAAAATCGTGGTGCCAGTGTTTTGGGAAAAAAGAAGGTTCTGCTCATTGGTTTTTTGGAAAGAGGTGAAACGATCAATGCTGCAAGATATAGTGAGACCATGAAGAAATTTCGCGGAGCCATCCAAAACAAACGTGGGAGGCTGATGGCGGGAGTCTGTCTTCTTCATGACAATGCACTGCTCATGCAATGCAAGAGTTGTTGACTTCATTTGGTTGGGATGTTTTAAGCCACCCCTCTAACAGTCCTGATCTTGCACCCAGTGACTACCAACTGTTCACTAAATTGAAGGAACACCTGGGTGGAAAACGCTTTTCCGATGACGACGAGGTGAAAATCAGAGACAAACTGGCTGAAAACGGCATCAGGAGACTTCTATGACACAGGCATCAAAAAACATGTCGCATGGATGACAAAACGTATTGTACTGAATGGTGCTTATGTGTAAAAATAATGTAATACTTATGCTACAATCCATGTAAGTTTTATTAAAATATATTCATCCTTTATATTTTAAAAAATTCTTGTAACCTTACTTTTCGCATATCCCTCTGAGAGCCTGATTATTTCCTTGTTCTGCAGAGACTCCCCCTAACCTTTTCTTTCTTTCTCTGTGCTGCTTAGTTCTCTTTGTCTGCTGGAGTCCCAATCTTTTATCATTTTAGGTGTGTATTCTTTTCAGTACACACTATGCTTCGCATCCCACCTTAATTTCTATTACTTCCTGCAGAGGTGATGAAACCCTTGGTCATCACAATACAGAGGTATAGTTTCCCTTCTGCTTAACTTTAAAATCATCACATTGCTCCTTAGACAGGGCTCACCGGGGAAGAAAATTCAACATAGCTTTCCAGTACAGCTAAGGAAAAATTGTTCCTTTTGGGTTTGTGCCTATCCTACACCTGATAAAACCACAGGGGCTATTTCAGAAACAGGCCACAATGGATGGTAATGCCTCCACCAATGGTAAACACGTTATTCCAAATTCTGAGATAGTTTGCCTAGGTCTAACCAATTATGTGTGATAATGCAAAGGAAGGCAAATCATTTTCTTTCTAACTTTCTATCTGTCTTTATCTATTTAAGAGAGAACATTTCATTCCCCATTCATTGTTTTTTTTAAAAAAAAATCAGGCGTTATTGGTACCCACAAATTAGTAAAGACACGATTGAAGTTGCAAAATTATCTGGAAATCAATGTAGCTAAGTTGACAACTCCAACATGGCTCAACTATATAACAAAGATGAAGAGAGATGGGTTTGTACAGTTCCCAATATTCTTGTAGTATTGCTCCTTATCAACCACAAATAGAGTATCTCAGCTACAGTAGTTGCAGGAGATGTGACAAAAGACTTGCATTTGGAGGCAGCAAAACATGAAGCTATGATTAGATTTAACAAGAGAACGTTCAATATGGATGCAGGGCAACCCGCTGAGTTAGCCATTCTTGTTTTCTCAGAAAATCAAAATGCAATTTTAGATATGTTATGAAGGGCTCTCCAAATCCCGAGATTTCAAAAAGCAAAACAAAACCCTGTGGTGTTATTTGATTACTCATTTCAAAGGACTTCCTTGCAGTGAGCAGACAGAGGAGCTTCTGCGTCTACCCAGCAGAGAGGCTTTCAGACACACCCAACTAGCATCTTTGGTCATGCTTGAAAACTCTAGCCTTGTTCCACAGTTTTGTGAACAAAGGAACAATAATACCTATTCAAGGATCTGAGTCAGAGGGCCCTTCCATATAGCCCTATATCCCAAAATATCAAGGCAGAAAATCCCACAATATCCACTTTGATCTGGGTTATCTGAGTCCACACTCAGATAATGTAGGATTTCCTGCCTTGATATTCTGGGATATATGGCTGTGTGGAAGGGCCCTATAAGAAAGGGATGGTTTCTAAATGTCCCTCAGCCAAGGAATACACTGTGATTCAACCCTGAGAATTGGGCTTACTGCTCCACAACAAAATCTTAAGTGGATTCTCAACTTGCCTCAAATAGCAAAGTGCTACTTTTCTATGAACTGTATGTTCAGAGACAGAGAAATCAGATGTAGGAGGAATATAAAAATATCAAGTATCTTTTGTTTTGCATGGCAAGTCCCCACCGAAAAATCTCTTACAATCCAAACTCATGTTTACTTACTTGAAGCAACCAGTTTTCCTGACTTAAGTCACAGGTACATGTGCATAGGATTGCGTCAGACAGAAGTTATTCAACTGACTTAAATGGGTACTTTCTCCAGGAAAATATGATACAATTGCAGCCTTATTGTAATAAGCTGGAGTTTAGACTCTAGTTCCTGAACACTATGGGTGAAAAAAGGCTGTGTATTACTTTTGCATTTTATAAAGTCCCTTCCATACAATACTTAGCATGTAGATCAGGTAAACTGAACAGAAGGAGTCAGAATAAAAGTAAGACAAGTAGGAAGAATGGGCTTCACAGAAAACAAAAACAAAAATCTAGATTCTATTGCTGGGGAAAATAAATAATTCTTTTTTAGGATAATTTATGCCACTCTTTATAGGCATGTCTTATTTAGAATGTCTATTTGTGATTTATTTTGCTGAAGACTGAAAACAAATATATAAAAAAACAAAGGCAATAGCTGTGAGGAGACAGATGAAACCAGTAGAGTGCATATATTCTCCGAGTCAGTACATAGTCTTCTCTGGCTCTAAAGGTCTATTCTGTGCCATAAACCTAGATTTGGAGCTTTTGTACATGCTGTTGGCCTAGAGAAGAGAGATAAAATGGGAATGTGTAAGCTTATCCGTGTTTCTGTAAAAACAGATATGTATTATTCATAGCAACCACTGGGAACCAGGGCAATGCAATGCTGAGTACTGGAGAAATTATTCAAGCGTCCACTGAGCCATGAAATTCACAGGGTGATCCTGGTTTGGTCACTGATCTACCTGATGTGGTGGTTGTGTGGATAAAGTGGGAGGATGAAAGCTATTTATGCTGCCTTCAGTTCTTTGAAGAAAAGGCACAATATGCAACAACTGCTCCTCTCTCTGCATCACACATTATTCTCATTTTTGTTTTAAAAGTAGCAGCTCTGACTAATAAGAATAGGGATGTCCTGGGACCAAAGCCTGGGAGCAAGATGTTTCCCTTATGTTCAGATTGAACATCCCCATGCATCAATTAAAACCCTGGGAGACCTACACCACATTTCTCATCCACCAAAAATCCACCATTTACCTGTTGCTACCATGCCTCCCAACAGCGACTTACTGGGTGGTGGAGGGAGCAGTGTGTGTGGAGAAACATCGAGATATGCTCATATAGCTGGATGCATAGAGATGAAGCATCCTCCAAGAGGCCCACCCTTCAGTAGACAGAAAATTTCCAAAAGTAGCCATCATTCTGAGAAAAACCCAGGATGGGCGAAGACCTATTGACCCTAGCTTTAAACCAGTGGTTCCCAACCTATTTTTGACCAGGGTCCACTTGGCCAGGGACCACTTTGACCAGAGACCACTCTACAACATTAGAACCAAAAGGGTTATAAATTAATTTTGGTCAGCTTTAGATTTGGTTTATTAGGGGCGCTGATCCGGGAAATTGCATTGGATAGACCACATCAGCTCTAGTTTCTGATACAGAACATATGCCATCCAGTAGTCGCCATCTGCTCACCCACAGGAAACCATATTTAGTAATCTAGAGCTGATGTGGTCTATCCAAGGGGTCGGGGCTGGTCTGCAACAAGGAAGGAGTGGCAGGAATCGTGAAAGGAGCAGAAATAAAATAAAGAAGGAGGCTCGCTAAACAAATTTTTGTCCTCATGACCCAACCCACAGGTTAAGAACCACTACTTTAGACACAGAAGTATGAGAATTTTTTGGAATAAAGGCTCAGCACACAACTTCTACACCTATAATTAGAAGCCCGTAAAACACCTTATCTGTTTTGCCTACAAAGTGAATAATCTTCACAGAAAACTGTAAAGAATCATGCTTGCATTTGGAAGCTTACTTTAGAAAATTAATGCTTCCCAAAGAGGCTTAAGGTATCATACTGTCTAAAGCACAGTTGCAATTTCCATTTTCTTATACAACAATTTAAGGCTGATACCTGGTGGCAGTTCCTGTCCTTCAAGAGACTTTATCAAATGCGTTGTTGTAGGTTTTTTCGGGCTATATGACCATGTTCTAGAGGCATTCTCTCCTTGAGGATGCTTGCCATAGATGCAGGCGAAACATCAGGAGAGAATGCCTCTAGAACATGGTCATATAGCCCGAAAAAAACCTACAACAACCCAGTGATTCCGGCCATGAAAGCCTTTGACAAGACTTTATCAAATGCTCTAAATGAACAAATGGCAAGTACGATCAGCAGGCTTCGCAGAACTGGTGAGAAGAAGGACAAACTCCATCTCCCTCCTCTAAATGCATCAATAATTTAAACATGATCTTGTATGCCAAGTGTGGAATTCTGGTCAACAGAAAGCAACTGTGTTTTTAAATCAACTGCATGCCTCAGAAAAAAGAAGAAAACAAAGAGGCTGACTTCTGGTTTTAAAAGTCAAAACAGTGAAGCCTCTACAACAAGTTATTTCATAGGTGAATTGCTCCCCTTGAAGGCTTCACCTGAGCGTGCTTGGAGACTGAGGGCTTCAAGCCGATTTGAGGAAGATCTGCATGGAACCCAAGGGCTATACTTTGCCTACCAACAGTAGAAAAAAGTTCTTCTGTATACAAAACCCAAGTGGGAGCGCCACATCTTTGTTCAGACCATTTCAAATCGCACAGTTCAGTCCTTCAGAATCCTAGGGAAGTACCATATGTATAATTAGAGCACCATGATCTTTAGCTCTATCAAACGACTTGCCAGGTTGCAATGTCATTCTTTCACCTTCGGTTCACGAAAAAATCAAGTGCCATCAAAACTTGAAACAAGTTTATACAGTAACATATTTTACATCCCATATACATATATACATATATATTTATATATACTTAATAAACACAGACAAGTCCATGTACGTGACCTAGAAGTGCCTCTGTTTCTACCAGTAAGCTTAAAGCAGTTGGGACGCGGAGTCTACATGCTGTCAAGACTAGGTTTCCATTCAACTCAGTCTTACAGGATCTGCAACAAAGACACTCAGTTTGCAAGTCCACTTTTTGGTTTTGATTCAGCTGTGTGGGGCCATTTGGGCCTCCCCTTCTTCTGGGTTCCCGGGTGCAGAAATCTCAAGCTGAACATCATGCAGATGGACAGTAAGTGAACTGGAGTCTTTGCCCACCCCCTTGATAAGGTCTCCCTCCGTTCCACAGTGCTCAGGGTGGTGTCTCTGCAAATGTTTGATCACTTGGAACTTCTGCTTGGCTTTGTAGCTGCAGTAGCAGCAGAAGAAGGGGTGCTCGTTGGTGTGGATGAGATAGTGGTGTCGCAAACCAGCGGCCCACCGGAAACCCCGGCAGCAGACATTGCAAACATATGGCTTATCCTCGCTGTGCTTCTTCATGTGCGTCTTGAGGAGGAATCGGGTCTTAAAGGCCTTCCCACACTGTTCACAGACGAAAGAGCGGGCCTCATGGTGGCGCGTCTGCTTGTGGATGCGCAGGGCATCTGCACGGTTAGTACAGTAGTTGCACTCGTCACAATGGTATGGCTTGATCCCTGTGTAGAAAACAGAGAACAACATAGTAGAAAGGTTGATCACACTGGTATGGCTTGATCCCTATCTAGAAAGAGAGAACATAACACAAAGGTTGACCATGTCAGAGCACGCTTGTTTTCCTCTACCTGAGGCCTCAGCACCTCTGCGATGTATTCTGAACCTTCTATACTAGGGAAACCTATACTGGAACTGAATTTTGGCCACAGATAACTGGCTAACAAAAATGTACAATTTCCTAGGCTCTTCCCAATCTCAGCCTCTTAAAAATCTACTGAAAGTACAAGACACCTCTGCTTTGCTTCTTGTAAAGATAGCATACAAAGTTTCATAATAACCAAACATACAGGGCCTGGCACAACTGGTTTCCTCCCCCAAAACACCTTATGGACACCCTCTGCCATACAGTAAAAAACAAAGCTATTCATTTAGCCATCAAATAAGTACCTGTGGCATAGTGCCTTGGCTTTAGTATTTGGAATAAGTGAATTATCCATTGGGAATAATTTTCTAAACTGTTCCAAGTACAACCTTAGGATTTTTCAGATTACAAATGACAGCACGGAGAATAATTATAAATTTATCAGGGTCCAACATGGTTAAAACAGAGAGATAAAACACAAGACTAGAAAAATACATACAAGATACATACAATTAAAATGCAGGTTAAAATCACAAAATTTAAAAAAAGACTGTGCATAGTCACATCCATTCACCCTCAGTGTAAGTCCCCTATGATATTACAGATTTTAAAATAACTGGAGTACAGCTATACTCGATAGTTGCTTATTCCGACTCCAGTTATTACGCCAGCATTTGCTGCTGCTCCTTTCTTCTAATCCCTTGATGACAAGACAAGAAGGAAAAGACCAGCATTGCAGTCTCTTTCAGGGCAAAAACCCTAAACAGCCCCTGCCTCTTTTCATAGGTTAAACAGGCACAAGCCACTTTAAACCAAATCATACATATACCAGCTGTTTGCATTTAAGTGCACCATTTGATAGGTCAGGAGAGACTCTCTTCTTGACTTCATGTGAGTGGGAGACCCAAGCCTTGAGAGGCAGAGGTTGCATTTTCTGACCTCCAATGCCCAGGCCTCAACATTTCCCAGAAGGGCCTACCTGTATGCTTCGTCATGTGGTACTTCAGCTGATTCACCCACTTGCACTTGTAGCCACATTCTGGGCAAAGGTACTTCCTCTCCTCCTTATGGATGCGCATGTGATACTAGCATGGGAAACAAAAACAACCAATCAAGATAACATACAAAGCATCGATCTCACACATCAGAGTCCCTTTTGAGGGAAACACCCTTTTCAACCAAGTATTCAATCATAAGGCACAATTACAAGGGAGAGATGAGATGGGAGGACAGGACAGATCACATTAAGCCAGTTTCCAGGTAACAGAGATATGCCCTGGCACTCGGAAGTGATGTAGACTGAATAATGGATGAATAGATCATAGAACTGTCAGGTTAAAACAGAAAGCACAATAAATTTCAGAACAAAATGGGACAAAACAAAGAAATAGGAATTTTGACCAGCTTTGATCTAACAAGAAACAATTCTGACTTTATAACAACTGCCCACTTTGTTTTCTTCTGGGAATACAATGCAACTGACTGAACCTAAGTCATCTGTAAGGTCAAGGGTAATTCCCATTTCTGCGGCTAACTTCTTTTATATTTTGCCCTGCTTCCAACTCAATGATCAGGAAGGTGCAGACAGTTCTCACCTTGAGGCGTGAAGGGTCGGCACAAGCATACTGGCACTGGTGGCACTTGTAAGGCTTCTCTCCAGTATGGATACGGATGTGCCATGTGATCTTTTGCCTGTTCTTAGTGGTGTACTTGCAGTCGGAGCACTTGTAGATGCGAGTGCTGCCATGTCCCTTCATATGGTGATCAAACACCAGCTGATGTTGACAGCCAAAGTCACAGAAGGAACACCTGAGTGGCCATTCCACTGCCACAGAAGGCTCATGGGCTGTCAAGTAGTGGCTCACCAGCTGCTGCCGATCTTTGGCACCGAAGTTGCAGATGTCACAGCGGTGGCTGAAATGTAACTTCTTATGTTCCTCCAACTCCTCACGGGTGGTCAGAGTCTCTTTACAAATTGCACACTCCAGGTGGGGGTGCTGTTTCTGAGCATGGCACTTGAGGGTGGCCTCGCTGTGGCAGATGAAGGCACAGTGATGGCAACTATAGGATACTTTTTCTTCATGCTGTCGTAGAGTGTGCTGTTTGAGGGCCGTTTCTGAACTGAAGCGGGCCTTGCAGTGAGAGCATGCAAAATTCAGTTCCCCTTGGTGGCAGCTATTTACGTGGCGAGTGATGTCGTTCTGAATGTAGCCACTATAATCACACAGCGGGCAGAAGTGGGTGGGCTTCTTTTCATGGACACGCAAGCAGTGAATACGCAGTTTGGAATTGGTGCCAAAGGTCTGGCCACAAGTCAGACAGGCAATGCGGCCCACGCCTGTGTGCAAGGACTGGTGGGCATCCAGGCGGTAGCGCCGGGTGGTGCTGAATTCACAGTAAGGGCACTTGTGGGGCTTCACACCTTCATGCTTGATGCGGATGTGCTGGCGTAGGCAACGCAACTGCTTGCAGGTGAAGCTGCATTGGTGGCAAGCCAACTGGGGCCGTGAACTGTAGTACTTCCGGTGGAGCTTGCGGTGGAGCCGAAGGGCTGCAGCTGCCTTGGAGGTGAAGGAACACAGCGTGCAGCGGAACTCACCCAACTTCAGGCAACCTCGTTTCTTGTGAGTCTTCAAGGCCCGTTCCTGGTGGCAGGTGAAAGGGCAGGTAGTACATGAGAAGTACCGACTTTTTCGGAGGGTGACTGGATGAGGAGACACTGACTCCATTAGTTCATGGGATTGGCCCACCTCCCCATGGCTTATTTCTCTATTCTCTTGCTCATTTCCTTCCTCAGGGGTTGCCATGCAATTGGACTCTTCAAGTGGTCCAGAAGGATGAGCTTCAACGTGTGCTTGTGACTGATGGATCTTGAGGGCCTTCTTTGAGCAGAAGAGCTTGGAGCACGTAGGACACCAGAACCGTTCCATCCCACGGCAGACATCGTCCACATGGGAGCGGATGGTGGATATCCGTGAACAGACGAAGGGGCAGGATTTGCAGTGGAACTTGCCCTGTTCCAAATAGTATCTCTCTGAATGATAGACCGCATGATCTTCATTAGCTTCTGGGAACAGCTCTTCCACCATTGCTTCTGGGTTATCTTGAGATTGCCTGCCACGCGAATTGCTTGATCTGGTCTGATGGTCTGGACTGGCCACAGATTCATCACTGATAGATTTCTGTTCTATTTCCTGAGAAACGTCTTGCAGCTTGCTTATTCCTGCCTCATCTAAGGCACCTACTCCATTTTGCCTTACCTCAGCTATGTCAAAGCTCTTCCCATTGGGCTGCCCACCAGTAGTCTGATCTAAGCAGGCTGCTTTCCCATTGGTCTTCTTCATGAGGACTGGACATTTCTTAAGCAGATGGGTATTCAGACCTCTCTGCTGTTTGAAGATGGCCCCACAGTCCTGGCACACCAAGGGGCATTTCCTGTTCTGGCAGCCAGCTCTGCAGTGGATCAGCATAGACTTCTCCTTCCTGGTGATGTAGGAGCATTTCTCACACTTGAAGACCCGACTCTCAGACTGAACCACCAACATCTGCACCCTCCCTTCCAGGACCAGGCTTTCTGCTTCCTCCTTGTCCTGCTTCCTGAGAGCTTTAAGCACTGTTTCTGACTGAGAATTCTCTTCACTGCTGAGAAGTACATTTTCTGAAGCAAGAGAAGTCTCAAGGCTAGGACCAGACCTTAACACTGCTGAACAAAGCTCCTGGGCATGTGGTTCTCTGCACTCCTCCTCAGAGCTGGGTGGTGCCTGCAGAGCTTCAGAGTTTTGCCTTGCTGTAGCATGCCTCAGGTCCTGTGGAGCACTCTTCTCACCAGTGCTGGGACCCACTTCTTTCTCCAACTCCAAGTCTCCATCCCCAGGAACCGTTGCCTCCTCCTCAAAGTCAGGAATATCTTCAAGGTCAGGTTCACTATCCTCCAAAACAAGGGAGTCCCTGGAGCCTAACACTTGATAGTCAGGGTCCACCTCCCTGCAGTTCAGAGTCTCCCCAGTATCAGCCAGAGCTGAAGGCATCTCCTCAGTCAGTTGCACCACAGAAGAGTCTGAGTTGCAGAGGGGTTCCAAGTGCAGAGTGCAACTGGGGGCTACCTGACCGACACTACCTGGCTCTCCTGAGCTCTGACAAGATGCTTCTGAAGGAGACCCATCTGGCTTACGAGGGCATTGCTGTCTCACAGCATCTTCTCTTCTCACAGTGTCACCATTGCCAAACAGAGGTGTGATGAGTTTCTCCTGGTGGCAATTATCCTCCTGGGCCTCTGAAACTAGAGCTTTGGCTTTATCTTGCCATGGCCCTTTCATTGGCAGGGAGATGGGCTCTGAAGGCAGTGTCATGGCAAGGTTATAGCTGAGCAGCACCTCAGTAGAACTGACCTCCAGTTCCCTGCTGGCATAGTTGTCCTGCCAGCCCTTGTCTCCAGGTACATAACCATGGGTCTTGCGCTTGTGGAAAAAGAGACTTGTGTTGCTGAAGGTGCGGTAAGGACACAGAGCACAACGGAACTCCCTCTGCTTGGTGTGTTTGCAGTTCTCATGGTTGAGCAAGGCTTGCTTGTATTTGGTCTGGTAGCTGCAGTACTGGCACTGAAAGATGGGAGACTGGTAATCCTGGGAATGCTTTGTCTTCTTGTGTTTCTGGAGCTCATACTTGCGTTTGCAAGCAAAGCCACACACCTCGCAGATCAAGGACTTGCCTTGGTGCCGCAGTTTGTGGCTGCTCAGCTGGTCAGCCCGATGGCAGCGGTATGGACACTGGTTACACTGGTACCTGGGCACAAGAAAAGAAGTTGGTGAGATCACAGGTTGAGAAAGATCAACAGCACAGGACAACTTTGCACAGCTCTTTCAATAAAGAAAACTATTCTTAGTCATCACCTGACAGCCCTGTGGAAACAAGTCTATGCCCCAAATTTTGCAAATTTGGGGAAAGAAGGCAGAGAGAACCTGAAGAATAAATTAACAGTAGATTTTTCCAGGGGCGAACTCCAGTTTGTGGCCTCTAGTAAAGTTTAATTCTGTGTCTTACTCTGTTGAGGGGTGGAAAGTGTTATTTGCTTCTCATTCATTAAACATTTAAGCTGCTCCGGCAAAGGCAATGAGGAGTGCACAATTATCGAAGAGCACAGATTTTAGGATGCTTTTAACTTTTGCTTCCCAGTAGAATTTTAAGAGTTCCAATGACTGGCAAATCCCCGATCCATCTTCCCAAGTTAGTTTCCCCAATTAGTCCCAAAGTTCTGGAATACAGTCCACATCGTCACAGCATTTAGGATTTGCTCCCAAATGATCTCTCACCAATCTGGCTTGTATTAAATCTTTGCAAATGCCTCAATTTTGCCTTTTAATGACTAACACATTAAGATTGTCAGCCTCCTCCACCTCACATGGCAAATCATCTACCAGATGTGGAATCACTCTGAAGTAGAACCTGCGAGGTAATGATCTGCAGAGTGCATGACAGAAATAATTTTTGTGGCAATCAATATATTGGTAAACTTCCAGTAGTACCACTGACACCAGGATGATCATCTCAGTTATGATTCTAAAATCCAAGGATTCATAGAAAAGTTACTTTTTGGACAACTGCCAGAACTCCCCAACAAATGACCATATCAACTTGTGGGAACCCAGAAGTTGTGCTACAAAAAAGGAACTTTATTTATCTTAGATTGGGGATAAAGGGCAGATTCTTTCTCTTTGATATCCGAGTTCCCTTGGTGAACAGTTGTTTAAAACAAGGAAACGAAACATCAACACAGAGCTCTACAAAAATGAATATTGATAAGTTTTGATCCTCAATGGCTTCATTTCAGTCTAATTCATCTACATATTATCAGTGTCATATGTGGAGGTTATGAACTACGGTAATAACTGTAGTTGTCATTGAACTTACGTGAAGAATGAGTTCAATCAGGTCTCCTTTCCAACCCTCAAATATGCCATCAATCAGATGGGAACCCCAGTTCTGGCTTCCAGCCACGCTAACAGGCCATGCACAAGCTCAGCTTTCCATGTGAACTGTTTTGTAACAAAACCATGATCTCCTGGCCTGTTCTGGGCAAATGTGATTGAGAAAACAAGTCTGAAAAGTGAGGAAGGTCACTCTGTACCTGAGGTCTCCGGTGTGCTTCCGCATGTGGACATTCAAGTAGTGCTTCCACTTTGTCACATAGCCACACTCTGTACACATGTAGTTCTTATCATCAGAATGAGTCAGCATGTGTTTGGAAAGGTAACTCACATCTCGACATGTGAAATCACACAGCTTGCATTTGTGAGGCTTCTCTCCTAAAGTTACAGAACAAACCAGAAATTGTGAGTCACTGGCTCTGCCTGTCATGTCGCTTAAGGTTAGCAGGTAGAATTTAAAATGTACTTTAGCCCTTACATATCAAACCACATGGTAGTAATTCTTTGCACAGAACACAGTGATGTATTGAAAATCATACTGCGACAGGGAACAAGAAGTGGGTAAGCTTTAATAATCATACTCATCATGACAAGTGTACCACTGCCTTTTTATGAATGTGTTGGGAAACAAGACTTCTTTTCTACTTGGAAGATACATAGGGAGGTAAAAATCATTCAAGCAATCATGAACCCAAAGCATGAAAAAGTTACTTTGGGTGCTGATTTCCCAAAGCTCCTCACAAGAATAACCATTGGCTCTGCCTGATGAGAGGATGGGATTCTGGGCACTGCAGTTTCAAAGTTCTGCACTCACAGATCCCACTTGACTCCCTGTTCTAAATGGCAAAGGAAGGCTAGGGAATGTTGACCAGCTGAAAACTTGTTATGCAAGCCCACCAGCTCTTCCTACTTTGATCCACACGGGGGCGCACTTGCCTCTCAAAAGAAAAACTAGCAATGTGTTGCTGACTTAAGAAACTTGGGACACCGAGATGGATAATGTTTTTAATTAAGAGATGCAAATGGCTTATGATTTTATTACTTTAGTTTGGTTTTATATTATGTATTAATGTTTTAAATGTTTTATGACGTTCTTGGGCATCGAATCATTGCCTCTGTAAACCGCCCTGCATTGCCTGAGGGCTGAAAAGGGTGGTATACAAATATAACAATAAATAAATAAATGCAGTAGGACTGAAGTGAAAGGCAGGAGGTCTGGGCAGAGGGGTTGACAACTACATCAGACCCACAGTTGAAGACCTCTTTAGACCTAAATCAAAAGGAGTAATGAAACCTTTAACTAGCTCTTAAATTATAATGTGAATGTATATTTAGAAAACCTAGTAAATTTCCCAAATCCGTTTTTTAATACAAAATCTAAGTTTGGCAGAAATGTGGATGATACAGGAAAAATCTTTGTGAAGTCTAGTGGGTTGAGGATTACTTGCATGCAGGGCCAAGGAGGCTCAGACATGACTTTGTCTTCTATTTGCTAAAATACAAGGAATAAAGCAAGTTCTACTTTTGAAGCCTCCCTTTCTCAAATATAGACAGGAATAAACCAAACTGCAAGGGCGGTTTTCTCTTCAGGACCACATACATGACTATCAAAACATGAAAGGAGAGCAGAACACCAAAATGCAAAGCAAACAAGTGCATATGGTCCAGAGCTTCTTTGGAGATCACCAAGCTGGGAAGAACACTTGCCTGTATGAAGCAGCGTGTGCCGAATGAGAACCCTCTTGTGCGCAGTGGCAAAGTTGCACTCCGCACATTTGTGTATCTTCTCGCTGGCATGCATCTTACTAACGTGGTCCTGAAACTGCACCGAGTTGAATGTGGCAAAAGGGCAGAAGCTGCACTTGAGCTGTTCACTTCCTGAGTGGCCTTGCCTCTTATGCTTGCGGAAGACATACTTATTGGAACAAATGAAATCACAGTGCTGGCAATGGAAGGCATAGTGCGTCTTGCGATGCTCTTCCATGATCTCTGCAGTGGGGAAGAGCTGAGAGCACGCATAGTACTTGCACTCCACGGCTTTAATGTCATGGGCCTCCCTGACGTGACGGAGGAACTCCTTGCGGTCCTGGGAGCTGTAGCTGCAGCCAGTCTGGAAGCAGCTCAGTTGCTTGGGCTCAGCTTTGTGGGTCTTCAGATGCTCCTTGAGGGCCTGGCTCATCTTAAATGTCTCTTTGCACACCGGGCAAGAATATACATCTGAATAGAAATTAGAGATGTCCTCATGCATGCTGGCCATGTGACGGTTGAGGGCATTCTTTTCCACAGAGCTGTAGTGGCAGAGCGGGCAGCAATGGGCTTTCTCTCCAGCCTCACGCATCATATGGATCTTTAGCTTGCTCTTGCTAGTGAAGAATTTCTGACAGTTTGGGCACTGCAACCTTGGGTCAGGGAAGTGGAGGTGAAGGTGCTCCAACAGGTGCGTCCGCTTCTTAAAGCAACGCTTACACTCTGGACACATGTGGGTCTTGAACAAGCTTTTGGAGTACTCAGCCACATCTCCTATAACAACAACAAATTAAAAGCCCCTCATTTTAGTGTGCAGGAAAGAAAAGGAAATCTTAGGAAAAGTGCCACAAATCAATTTGGTTCACCTCAAGAGAATAATCAATACTCCAACCTGCCATCTCTATAGATCAATACTGATAAAAGTATGGGTATGTTATGTCTGTATCCAGAACAGATCTGAAATGTTTAAACTTAAAACACCTGCTCTCTGGCATGCACACTAAAGAGACCCAGGAGTATGCATCTCTGGTTATTTTTTGTTTGTTTAAAAGATTTTAGGAACATAAAATACACTTTTAGACATCAATATCCCATTTAGAAACTAGATGAGTCTGATAGTCCCTAGATTCAAAGCTTATTTCTTCACAAGACCTCCAGGTGTTTTGGATTTTTGAATCCCAGAAATGCCAATAGTGAGGCATTCCAGGTGCTGCTGCTTCTCCTCCTTCTATGAGGATTATTAGACCATATTTCACTAAATCTAAGGTGCTACTGACTGCAATAATAATCATCATCACCATCTTGATCTTTATTTATACCCCACCACTATCTCCCTAAAGGGGACTCGGGGCGGCTTACATGAGGTCAAGCCCAATAATACAATTACAATAAAATGAATACAAAACAGCAAAAATAACAACTCAATAAAATAAGGCAATAACATAGTGAATATAAGAACAAAACAGAGCAGTGCAAGATACAGTAACAAGCACACACAATGGGCGGGCCAAATGTACACATAAAGTGATAAAACCCTGGATGAGATGACAATGAAAAAGATGTATTTGTGAGGGAGGAGCACGTGGAGGATGGAACAGTGGAGTCAGGCCTTGAGAAAAAAAAAGGTGAGGGGAAGGGCGGGATGAGGACAACCTGAGAAGACAACAGGAAAGAAATATGTGGTCACTCTCCAAAGGCATACCGGAAGAGCCAAGTTTTTAGATTCTTCTTAAAGGCTGCTGGGGGGGGGGGGGGGGGTTGCCTAATCTCAGCAGGCAGTGAGTTCCACAGCCAGGGGGCCACAGCAGAGAAAGCTCTCTCCCTCGTACCCACAAGTCATACTTGTGATGGAGGAAGGGGTGAAAGGAGGGCCTCCCATGAAGATCGAAGAGGTCGTGCGGGTTTATGGAAGAAGATGAGGTCACGAAGGTAGGCGGGTCCCAAACCATTAAGGGCTTTGTAGGCCAAAACCTGCACCTTGAATTGGGACTGGAAAATGAACAGCAGCCAATGGAGCTCCTTAAACAGGGGGGTTGACCGCTCCCTGTAATTCGCCCGTTAGTAATCTGGAACACCCCATTTTTGAAGCTTCAATTTTAGGGGGGAAATAATTGAAATATTCAGGGCATTTGTTGACTAATGTCACTCTAGAGCATTCCCAGCCTTGTCTATCCCTCTACCTCAAAGCATGTTCTCTCTGGCCCCGTCTCTTTCAAGCTTCCAGCAGGCAACCAAAACAGTGCTGTTCTGCATCTCATTCAGTGTTTGAAGTTGCTATGTTAAGTGGGTTCTAGTATTGCTTTTAGAGTCCTGCCAAGAATGTTTTATAAGAGTGTTTTAAAAATGTTTTGCTCTTTGTATTGTTTTAATTGGTTTTCATTTGCTCGTCACCTTGGGAGTCCTTGTGGACTGGCAGCTGACTCCAAAATGCTTTAAATAAAGTAAACAACTAGTACCTGAATTCAGAAGGAGATGATCATTCAGTTCCTCTCCTGCAACAGCAATTAAGCTACATTCATTGCTCTCAGATCCTACTCTCGTCTCCTGCAGTGCTGCAGTTGCTTCTTCCAGCAGATGGCTATGCCTGTGCAGTCCAAACTGCTTTGTGCTAGCACTGATGAAGTTGCAGTGGCCACAGTGGAATGGAAAGTGGCTCCTACGATGAAGTTCCATGTCCTCTTGATTCTGGAACAGTGCGGGGCAACCACGATAGGTACAGGCAATGGGAGAGATCTGATGGACGCACCGCAGGTGTCCCCGAAGCGTCTTTCGATCCTCTGAGCTGAAGTGACAGTCCTCCACAGGGCAGCCATGAGCACCCTGCTGTTTGTGATGATCCTTAAAGTGTCCCTTCAGTTCAGAAGGCAGGGCAAACTCTAACCGGCAAACTGGGCACAGGAGAGGTTCAGGGAAGAGATCTACGTCCTGCCTACTGTCATCCAGTGGGGACTGAGGGGCAGTTGGTGGCTCTCCAGCAGCAGCTAGAGCATGGCTTGTAAGGGCTACTGGTAATCCTTGGAGCTGAGGGATGCTTGCAAGTTGTTCTCTGGAAATCTCTACACACTGATGCTGAGAAAGTAGGCTGGGATCAGAAAAGCTCTGCCCACATCGTTCACAGAAATATAGTTCTACAACTTTAACCAAGACTTCTGCAAGAAAAAGGCATGATTTATTTATTTAATAAAAGTAACAACAGTAACAACAACAACAACAACAACAACAACAACACTAAACAATCAGGAAAACAGAACAAAATGAGCTTCAAGCCTCCAAACCAGTGATGACAAACCTTTTAGGGGAAACAGGCCTGCACAACAGGAGGAACTTAGAACAATAAAAGCATGTTTTCACAGAGAAAGATCAACAGTTTTGATTCAGATGAGAGCAGAAAGACCATAAATTAACGTCAAAAAATGCTTGCTATTCAATCCTGGGAGACACATATAAAATGCAGCCCACAAGTTGTGCATAAATCCTATAAGCAGATTTGGTGATACACTGGTTCCAACAATAGCAGTTTTATGCTAAAATAAGGTGTATGTAAAATGTGTTCAAGAAACTAGGTGTTTTTAAAAATCACTTCTGACTGTTACACTTCCAGGTTCTGGTTGCACATATTTGGGGATACACATACTGGCAGAATCCACTGGAAAGAAATCGCAAACATTGTCCACCTCTCAAATTCCTTCACCAGTTCATTGCTACAAACTAGTTGGACATATGTTTTCACAGGTTTCACTTTCACAAATTTGGTTATCCACAGATTATTTGGTGTAATCTCTGCTGGTGCCCTACATAGGGACTGCAAGCCTAGAGAGACTGAAGGAAACTGCAAACTTGTGATGAGGCTATTAAAAAACATATGGCAGCAGCAGAGCTTGAACCCACTTTTGCTTGGCTGCCTGCTAACTTGAGGCTCTTCCAGACAGGCCTATATCCCAGGATCTGATCCCAGGTTTTCCGCTTTAAACTGGGTTATGAGTCTGCACTTCCAGATAATCTGGGATAAACGGAAAACCTGGGATAAGATCCTGGGATATAGAGCCTGTCTGGAAGGGCATTTAGTAACTCAATTCATGGTCAGAAGCTCTCCAATCCCCTTCCAGGTGTTTTCTAGCCATGATAATCCAGGGGGCCTATTGCTACAAAAATATTTAAAAACATTTTTCATTGTAGATGCATATGTAATTTTTTAAAAATGAAGGGAAGTCCAGGAAAAGTCAATCTCTTACAGCTTCAATGCATTATTTTTGTATGCTGCAGAATTAAGATGGTGGAGGATCCTTCCTTGGAAACTTTTAAACAGAAGCTGGATTGTGTTTTTCTTGCATGTCAGGGAGTTGGACTAGATGGCCCACATAGTCTCTTCAAATTTTATAATTATACGAGCATGATGGAAATTGTTTCCATATAAGTGTACATAGGAATGGGCTAGAAATCCTCTAAGTCAAATCTCTTCCTTTGTTTTTCCATTTCCTAATCTTGCTATTTCCAAAGGGTGGAACTACATGCGTTACTGTTGTGTTTTGAAGACCCATCTACTTCATCCTCGAAAAACAAAAGAACAAATGTGGCTGGGCTCTTTTGTTTTTCTGTTTCTCCCAGGAAAGAGCATAACCAGGGCAAAAAACAGGGCCAAATGCTGGCTGATGGATTTGGGCACCTGCCTGCAAAGAGGTGAGTGGAGCTGCAGTAATGGTGGCTAATATTATATTACATGTAATATTACTAATAATATTACAATATAATGGTATAGTGCAATATAGTAATATATAATACTGATATTGTACTATGCTAATAATATAATACATTGTATGTATATATATCTTGTAAGTCACTCTGAGTCGCCTTCAGGGTGAGAAGGGTGGCATAGCAATGTCATAAATAAATAAATGGCTCATTTAGCGGGTAAGGGAGGGTGGGAAAAGGCAGGCCAGGATGGCATAGCCCAGTTCCTTTCACTTGGTGCCACTGAATATCCCAAAAGGCCCCCTGTGAGTGCAGGAACATACACATCAGGAAGCTTTAGGTTCTTAGAGCCTAAAGAACTTGTTAAATATTTGGAAAAGGGTGCTTAAAAGATTCACATTTTTTCCATTTTAGTGGGGGCCTGTGAAAAGCAGACTGAACTTCTTTGTAGCACTGTAATATCTACACCACTTCCCACATGCTACTATTATGTCAATCTCTGCAGTCTCATCCACTGTGTTGTCAACTTCCGAGAACCAGGCACACAGGATTGGCCATCGCTCCACCAGCCCTATCACCTATCCCTGCAAGGTGCACCATCCAATCTCCCTACCATCTCCTAGAAGAGCAGAAGAAAAGGCTGGCTGAAATCGGTTTCCAGCTAACAGATTTAAAAGGATCAAGTGCAGTAAGGCCAAACTACTTTTTTCCTGCCTCTCATGCCATGTTCAAAGATTCTAAGTCAGTCCTTAACTAGTCTTGATTTGCAAAAGGCACAGCAAGGACAACTGCAGCACAGTGAATTCTTATATAGGTATGATGGCCTGATGAAAACAAAACATACCTGTAGTGCTGTCAGGATTGCTGAGGGACATAGTGTCAGTCATGGCTTCTACAAATATTTCAACACCAGCTGTCCCTGTCCCTACCACAGATGTTTCTGTTAAGAGCAAATTCTGTCCCGCCGCTAAGTCCTCCCCAGGGACACCATGGCTGTCTTCATTTCCTGTCACTGTGGAGCCAGGTAACAACAGCTCTTGGCAAAGAGCATTCATCCTGTCTTCTTGCACAAGCACTGCTGCTATCGCTCATCTGCTCATCGCTTATCACGATGGTCGTGCATTACGACACAAAGAGGCACAGCTCCTGTCAAAAACAAGCAAAAAGGGAGCTATTGCTGGTTTTCTGAGGGGAAGGAAACAAGAATTAAATCTGGTTTCTTCAACAGGAATATTTATTTATTTATTTTTATTTAGTATATTTATATACTGCCTTTCTCACCCCTGGGGGGACTCGAGGCAGTTTACAACATATTAATGGCAAGAATTCAATGCCAACATACATATAATAAAATCAAATCACAATAATTAAACACTGGCATATAACTATAAAATCATTAGAACCATTAAACGTAGGCATATACAACATGGTAACACTATTATTTAGTTATTATTTATTAACTTTATTTGTACCCCGCTACCATCTCCCCAAGGGACTTGGTGCGGCTTACATGAGGCCGAGCCCAAATAACAACAATACAAGCAATTAAAAAACATAGACAATAAGATAAACATTATAAATAAAATAACACACAATTAAAAACAGAGGGGGGGGGCAAATGTAAAGTTAAAATTGAAAATATGCTGGGACATGAACGGAAGGTGATACTGGTGTTTGTAAAAGGGCAAGGGCATACAAGCAGACTTAAAAAATGTAAAGTGCTTTGGAGGACAAGGTGCTATGGAATCACTAAGACAAAGCATTAAAAACTTCCTAATATAAATATTCAAATCACATGATCCAAAATATATAAGAGCTGAACTGGAAATGTCGGATATTAACTGTTATTGTGCAGCAGAATAAATAATCGTGTTTGTCTGGGAACAGGCCATTCCTAATTATTTTCCCACTGTAGGGTCATTTCTACTCCAAATCTTTTTTGCTTCAAAATGCCCCCAAAAGGTCATTAGGAGAGATATAGAAGACTTTAATACAATGTTTGGAGCTCCCCCCAAATGATCCAAAATACCCTCTAATGGCTTAGTTCCGGAGAGAGGGTGTTAGGATAATGCAGATTAATATCCCACACCTGCCCACTTCTAGGCAAAAAAACTAAGAAAGGATGCAAACATGATGAGATGTTATCCAATGACAGAAAGAAGTAAAGTTTTAAATTGGGTTGAGGAACCTTTGGTCTTCCCAATGCATTGGCCTAGATGTCCTAGCAACCCTGGCCAAAAAGGCCATTAGGCATGGACGGATAAAGTCAGCTCTCTACTTTGGCTATTCACAAAGTATTTAGTGCCATCTCTGTTGATACCCTACATAGGAACTGCAACTAAGGGGGACACACAATGAGGCTTGTATTGAGCTGTAGCAGTTAAAGTGGTGTCAAACTGCATTAACTCTACCAAAAAGCATACCATAACGTCACTCTGAAGGACTTTGCTGCCCCAGCCAGTAACTTTGAGGAGAATAAGCAACTTCTATGCACTGCCTTCACTAGTATTTGGTTCTGTATTTGCCCAGGTCATGCTACTTCCCAGGGAAAACAGGCAAAACATATATAAATTTAAACTCTGAATAATGCTCCCTGAACATAATGGGAAATACTTCTGTAATAGAAATTGTTTCCATATTAAGCGCACATTGGAATGGGATATAAACCTCTAAGCCAAACTTCTCCCCTTTGTTTTTCTGTTTCTCAGTCCGGCTGCTTCCACGGAGGGGTAGGAAAACAAAGGGCTTGACTTATAGGATTTAGTGCTGTTTCGCAGGCCCATCTGTTTCATTCCAGGAAAGCAGAAAAACAAATACAGCTGGGCTCCCCTCTCTGTATTTGTTTTTTGTAGGAAGCCGAATAACCCAGGCAAAACGCAGAACCAAACACTGCTTGAAAAGGCTGGGGGTTGGCAACAGAGGCGAAAATAGTGCATGGTGCCCACTTTTATTCCTTGGTGCAACTTGCTGGATTCTGCGAGGCCCTCCACTGTGAGGCTATGGGATGCCTCTGGGCCAAGTAAATTCAAAATAGAGGCTTTGGCATTTTCTGTGGTTTTAGATATTCCTGGAGGATCTTTGAGCGTGTCCCTCACAGATATGGAGGTCATACTGTACATAGGACAAATGAATAAAAATGACTACATGCAAGGTATGCAAACTCCATCACGGTTACTATCCATGTTGTATCTCTTTGCTTGTAAGGTGCCATTGATTGTAAGACGCACACTAATTTCAGTACTAACAACAAAATACACGAGACACCCGCAATTCTCAGACTCATCCCATTTTGAGAGATCTTTCTATAAGGGGAGGGGGACGTGTCTAAGAGCTGAAGAAATGCAGTACATTTCCTTGAAAAATAAAGGAGGCTGCTCATTAATATTATCACAGGATGTCTACGCCCTATGATGCTGGAGAAATTATACTGTTTAGCCCAGTGGTTCCTGACCTGTGGTCCAAGGACCACGAGTGGGCCCCAAGAACTAAAATATGGTCCACAGCTTCACCGTTACTACACCGTTGCAACAAGAGCAACTGGTTTTGTGAAACCCTCTTATAGTGCCATTGCTTATTAAAGATAGGTTTCTGCAGGCGAGCAGATGATGACCATTGGATTGCATATGTTCTGTATAAGAAACCAGAGCTGATGTGGTCTGTCCAATGTAATTTTATGAATCAGCACCCCAAATAACTGAACTGAATCTAAAGCTAATCAAAAACTGATTCATAACCCTTTTGGTACGAATGTTGGGAGAGTGGTCCCTGGTCAAAACGGTCCCTGGTCAAAAAAAGATTGGGAACCACTGGTTTAGCCGATATTGCACTACCTGATAACTGTCGGGGAGTAGCAGCCAGCATTGAAAGGATCAAGGCATTGGCATCTCCAGCCCATCCTCTGTTCGGATAACAGCCAGCACGCCAATGCCTTAAATCAAGAAACAGTTTTCTAAGATCTACAAAGATACTTGCAGGAACACCTCAGCAAACGAGAGTCCAAAAGTGGCAGGCTAAAACCTGGAACCTCAATCAGTGGCTGATACCGGATGAGAGACTCCCTCCTGGCCACACAGAAGACTGGGCGACTTGGAAGGTGCTGAACAGACTGCGCTCTGGCACCACAAGGTGCAGAGCCAACCTTAAGAAATGGGGCCACAAACCGGAGTCCTGGACATGCGAGTGTGGAGAAGAGCAAACTACAGACCACCTATTACAATGCAGCCTGAGCCCTGCCACATGCACCATGGAGGACCTTCTTACAGCAACACCAGAGACATTGTGGTTTTTTAATGCATTATAACTGTATTCTTAATTCACTTCTGACACGATAAATAAATAAATTAATTAAATAATATCTACATCTATCCCACCAGCTGCTGCAAAGGAAAACATTATTGTCCGACTCTTTCTCCGCTCCCAGCTTTCATTCCACCTCCAGGGAGAGCGATTCCCAAACTCTGGCTTTCTAGGGGGTTTTTTTGGACTTCATTTCCCAGAAGCCTCAGCCTCTTTGGCCAATGACCGGGGATTCTGGGAGCCGAAGTCCAAAACACCTGGCGGTCCAGAGATGCGAAACACCGCCCCGCGGTGCACCTGCAGTGCGGAAGGAATGGAGCCCGGCACCGCCTGCCCTGCCTGGCTCACGCCTAGGGGGTCCTGGGAGCTGCGGTTTGGTGAGGCCCAGCGCTCTTGGCCCGAGGAGGGGGAAGATGGAGACCCTGCAAAACTATCATCCCCGCGACTCCAGAGCGGCTGTTCTCTCCGAGGCCCAACTCTGCCTTCGCGTGGCCTCACTCGCGGTGGCCTCTCTCCCCGGGGCGCCCCACGGCAACCACCCGGCCCCTCACCTGGGCTTCTCCGCTCCCTAACTTCCGCTCCTGCCCTCCCCGTGCCGCTCTCCCCCTCAGCAACTCCATGGTCCAGGGAGACCGAGGAGCGCGCGGGCGCGTCTGGAATCCTCGGATCTCAGACTCAGAAAGCAAACCGCGGCAGAGCGGCGCCTCCTGTCGTCACTTCCCGTAACAGAACGGAAGCGGCTTTCCATTTCCCGGCGTCTCCAAGTATCCTGGACTTCAGTTCCCAGAAACGCTGAGCGTAGACCAAAGCAGCAGAGGCTTCTGGGAGTTGGAGTCCAAAGAACGCTGCAGGACCAGGAATGATAGAGGAGAGCGCCTCTATGCAGGGTGGCAGCTGTAGCTCATTGGGGACGGAACAGAGACCCTTGTTTCCGGTCAAAGGCATAGCCAACCATAGAGATAGCTTGGGCAGAGAAGCGGAGGTGAGCGAGGGCTTTCTATTGCACAGGAACGCTGCTGTTCGAATTAATCTCTTATTTATTTCTTCCTTTGCTTTCCCCCATACGTCTTGTTCCTCCCCTTNGGGGGGGGGTGACAAGGAGGGTGTCAGAGGGGTTGCCAAAGACCATAAGAAAACACATGTTTCTGATGGTCTTAGGAACCCCTTTGATAGAGAAGGCAGGTGAAGATCTCTCCACCTGTCTTTCTCTTCCTTTTTGGAAATAGACGGCGAATCCTTCTGCCAAAAGCTCTCCTCCTGCTGTGATTGGTTGGCCTCTCAGTTGTCCTCTCAGCCAAGAGGAGGGCAGTTTCTGAGACTCCAAGCAGGGAGGGGAGAGCAGACATGCTGGGTGCATGACAGCATGGTGCACATGTGCAGGTGAGGAAGATTGTGCAAGGCTAGAAGGAAGCTGGCACCAGCGAGTCCCTTCAAGGAAGGGGAAAAAATACCCATGCGACTGAGAGTGTCCCAGCAGCATCAGGAGGAGGAGGAGTAGCAGAAGCAGCTTAGGTAATTTGTAATGCTGTTATTCTTCGTGTCGTCCGTGAAATGCGCACCTATGGGTTCTCCCTCGCGCATGCGCAGAAATTCGGAACATTCTAAGTTTAAATGAATTAAAAAATGATTATTTTGAGCCGTATAGGCTCCGTCCATCTCCCCGCCCCCCGGATATATGCGCCGAGCGCCGCCGCCATTATTTGGTTCCTTTTTCCGTGCTAAACTAGCAGCATCTCGGAACAGCTTCTCCTTGATTTCTTTGATTACTGGACTGACTTGGACTGATTTCTGGACTTGATTGCCTGCCTCTCTCCAACCCCCGATTCGGACCGACTGACAACTCTCCTTCTTCACCCTCAGGCTAAGATGTCTTCCCTCTATTTCAAAAATTGCTCAGCTTGCGGGGCCACCCTCCCCGAAGCTGATAGGCATTCAAAATGCCTCCTTTGATTGGGGAATCCCATAATCTCCAATCATGCGAGATTTGCCTTAGTTTCACTGCAAGGGCTCGTAAAGGAAGGGATGCCCGTTTAAAAGCTCTGCTTTATGAGCACGCTCTGGCTCCACAATCCCTCCCTACCTCCTCCCTATCCCCATTAATAGAGCCCCCTCAGCCTCCCTCCCCACGCGTTGGGGAAAGGCGTGAGTTGGATCAGGCAAATGCTTCCCCCGTGGAACCGCCTGCAAAAAAACAAAAATCTTCCAAACAGGCCACGAGGCCCAGGAAAACGAAAGAGAAAACAAGTAAACAGAAAAAAGGACAGCAACTCACTGACACACAGTCCTTGAGTCCTCCCAGACTGGAACCGATGCCCCATTTCTCCGGTTCCGTACTGCATCTCCAGGAGCCGCTCCCCGCCATGCTCCAATTGGATGACCCCTCCCACCTTCCCCCACTCGAACTCCTGGCTCCTCAGCTGGAGTTGGAGGCTCAGCCCTCCGCAGGCCTCTCGGCTTCTCCCCCGCTGCTTCCCCTCTCCCAAGCCTCCCCCCTCCCATCTCCTAATCTTCCACAAACCCCGGTCCCGGGAGAAACTCCTTCCCCCGTTCCATCTGCGCCGATTGCGCAATCTTCCCGCCGCCGCCACAGATCCCCTTCTCCTGAGGCGGAACCGGCAGCGTTCTCCTCTCCTCCTCCCAAAAGGCCCCGTCCTCACTCCTCTGAACACTTTAATCCATATGGGTACCCAGAGTACCCTTACCACCTCTACCCCCCTCCTCCTCCCTTCCCTCCATACCCTTTCTACTACCCTCCTCACCCTGATCACTATAGAGGTTTTGATGCCTCTCACCCGGAGGACCCTAGATACCCTCAGCCCCCCCGTGCGCCTCCCCCGGCCACACTCTCTCACCCTCAGGAAGACCAAACTGAGGCCCAAACTCATTCACCCGAGCAGGATCCCAACAATCCACCCCTGCCAGACTCAGAGACCATCGACCTTGAATCCACTGATGACATGCCTGRCATCCTAGACACCCAACCAGATACTGACCCTTCACCCAAAAATTTGGAGGAATTCAAAAAATTCTCAGCTCTTCTAATAAGACTGACTAGAGCTTTAAACTTAGCTACTCCAGAACCTACCGATACGGTAGTTGATCCATGTTTTACTTCCACTGAACAACAACCCTCATCCACTGTGTTGCCCACTCTACCCTACTTGCTAAAGATTCTCAAAAATAATGGAGTTGCCCCGGCTTCGGTCCCGGCAACCCCTAAAAGACCAGAAAACTTGTACCGTATTGATCTCTCCTCAGCTTCATGGCTGGCTAAAATGCCTAAAGCAAATTCTGTTGTCACTGATGCTCAACCTAAGCCAACTCAAGTTAACCAAACCTCACCCTCTGACAAAGAAGGGAGGAAATTGGATACTATGGCCAAAAATGTTTACTCCTCAGCATGTCTCTTTGCYCGCATGGCTCACTATGGAGTATACATGAGCGTATACCAGACTTTCTTGTGGAATAAAATAGCTCCCTATTTAGACCTATTACCTCCAACCGAACAACCTCTGGCCACAGCTTTTAGACAAGAAGCTCTCCTTTTGGCCTCCCTACAAAAAGACCTTTCCAAAAATATTGCTGACACCTCAGGTAAACTTATTGCGGGATCAGTGGCCCTTCGCCGTCACGCCTGGCTAAGGGCAGCTATCCTCTCTCAATCACAACGCACCCTGATTGAGAATCTCCCTATGGATGAAGCAGGCCTTTTCAATCCTGAAACAGATTCTCAATTGAAACACTCCCATGAAATGAAACAAACGGTATACAAGTATGACCAACAACCATACTCTTACCAATGCCAGCGATGGGGATCCTACTACTACCGTCCTCAATACTACAATAGGTCCTACAACACCTCATTCTACAGGGGACGTCAGAGGCCTTACACCCCCTCCACATCGTCAAGACGACCACCCCTGCCTTCCAGAGGTCAGTACTGCGGTACCAGACCCCCCAATACCAACAAACGTCGTTTTTAGCACACCTACACCTACTACCACACTCCTTCCATCCCACATCCAACCACTTACATATCTGGACAGACTACATACCTTCCTCCCAACATGGCAGTCCATAACCACGGATGCCTGGGTCTTGGACATCGTTAAAAGAGGTTATGCTATAGAATTTGACAACTACCCTCCAGATGGCAATATCCTACTAACCCCACCTTCCCAGACCATCTGGGAAGAGATTGATTCTCTTCTCCAAAAAGGCGCCATCTCGCCTACCTCCTCACACGATACAGACACCTGCTTTTTCTCCCGCTACTTCCTGGTAGATAAGAGAGATGGCGGTCTACGCCCCATCCTTGATCTACGTAAACTCAACACTTTCATTACGCCACGTAAGTTTCGCATGGTAATACTTCCCAATATTCTTCCCTTCATTCCAAAAGACTCATGGTTAGCTACGGTGGACCTACGGGACGCCTACTTTCATATTTCAATTAGACACTCCCATCGCAGGTTCCTTACCTTTGCGGTCCAAAACAAATTCTTCTCTTTCAATTCTCTCCCATTCGGCCTGTCCACAGTGCCAAGGGTATTCACCAAGTATATGTCTGTCATAGCCGCACACCTCCGCCAGCAAGGTGTTACAGTTTTTCCTTACCTGGATGACTGGATGCTCTGCTCGCCCTCTCGGTCACAATTGCGTAAAGATACTGATTACACTTTGTCTCTTTTACAGGACCTGGGTCTGGTCGTGAATCACGAAAAATCTCACCTGACCCCAACACAACGCATCCAATTCATAGGAGCTGTAATAGACTCCACACTTCAGAAAGCCTTCCTCCCAGAAGATCGCTTCCTCAATTTGCGCCAATCTATCCTGGCCCTACAACAATCCCGCCAGACATCAGCTTGGGCTATCCAGTCTATCCTTGGCCACATGGCTTCTACCACAAACGTAACACCCTTTGCTCACATGAGAATGAGACCCCTTCAAAATTGGTTTCTCAGAGCGTTCGACCCCCTTCACGAACCCCAGTCACGGGTCCTACAGCCGCCCCTCCCTGTCCTCCAGTCACTCTCATGGTGGACAAAGCAATACAATGTTCAATCGGGGATGCCGTTCAACCAACCCCGTCCTTCTATGTCCCTCACAACCGACGCCTCCAACTCAGGATGGAGAGCGCATCTCAAGGGTTTTCAGGTCAGCGGCCACTGGTCCCCACAAGACCAGAAGTTCCACATCAATGCTCTAGAAATGATGGCAGAGGAAAAGGCTCTTCGGGCCTTCACACGCATTGTATCCAACCATGTAATACAGATAGTAACAGACAACACCTC